CGCTTGGGACATCCTTGCCAAATCCGCCACGGGTAAGATGGCACCGCGAGCACGGTCGTCATCGCGAGCGCGTCGCCTGAGACATCCTCGGGGAACGGGGGCAGTGTAGCCGACGGCCTGGCCCACCCCCCTGGGCTAGAAAAAAATCGGGTTCGGAAGAACGCGCTCTCGAAACCATGGCCGCGCCGAGCTGCGCATCAAAGCTGTCTCTCAATGCGTCCTCGGACGCCCTCCAAGATGGCCGCAACACTCTAAGCCATTGAAGTGCGCTGCTGAACGGTTAGCCGCGGTCGCGTTGAGTCATGGCGTTTCGCCGCAGACATCCCCTCAACTTTGGACCGCCACCCCCCCGAGAAGCGAGAGCAGAAGGCGAAGGGAAAAGGGGGCAGCAGGAGGGGCGCGAGGAGGATGATGAGAAGGATGACGATGGGGGGGAGTGAGAAAGGGGGGGTGGGGGAGGGAGCGGCCTCGGAGCTGCTGAGGGAGAACCCAGAAGAAGTCGATCGGCACTGCTGCCCCCCCCCCCCGTGCTGGCGCAGCCCAAATCGCCAGCATTCGTTGCGGAATTCGCGCGCTCAGCAGCGCCACCCTTGAAGCATATCTGAGGCGCTTCGGGGCATTTGGGGGCAGAAGGTCTCACTGGGGGCCACGCTGTTCATCCTCGTCGTCGCCCTCCTCCTCGCCACCGTCTTCGCCCGCCAACTGCCGCGGCGTCGCGCGCGTCGGTCTCGGCGAGGGCGCTAGCGACGATAGCGACAATGTCGCTATCGTCGCTAGCGCCCTCGCCGAGCCCTGTTTGCCCGATCAGAAACGGCAGAGGTGTCACGCGTGAAGCTTCCCCTGGCCCTGGTTGAAGCCTGAACGATCTACGCGCGACGGGTCCGCTTGCGCTCTCCTCCCTCACTCGTCCTCTTCCTCCTCCTCCTCATCATCATTGTCGTCTTCGTCCACGCCGACGCGGCGAGCCCGTTCATGCTAGGCACAGGGGGGCCAAAGAGACTATCCGCCACTGCGCGGCCCCCACCCCCACGCCCCCTGCCCCCCTCAACCCCCGCCCTCCCGCCCCACCCACCCCCCCTCGCCCAACGCCCGCCTCCGCGGGCCCTTCTTCCGCACCCTCGCACCTATCCGCAACTAAGGCGCGACGCTGGTCCCGACCTGGCCCTCCTCTTTCTCGTCGTCCTCCTCCTCCTCCTCCTCTTCCTCCTCCTCCCTCTCCTTTTCCTCCTCCTACTCCTCCTCTTCCCTCCTCCCTCCTCTCAGATCCTCGCCCCTGTCGAGTCTCAAGCCGTTTAGCTTGCAGTTTGGGAATCCTGGCAGCTCCTTCGTTGGTGCTGTCGTCCAAGGGGGTCAGCTTGAGGGGGTCTATCTCTTTCTGCAGGGCGAGAGACACATTGGAACCGTCTAGGCCGATCGCAAGCACGTGCGGGCGAAACATTGAACCGAGCCCGAGGAGCTCCCTGGATAATGGATCGCGCTGCCCCTCAGGGTACATGTCGCACTGTGCAAGTGCCAGCTGCGCAACGCCAGGCTCATTCAATCGACTCAATATCCAAGGAATCGTGTCCAAATATTTGATCCGTTCTGTTGCTAAGTGGCGCGCTAGCCGCACACACCCCTGCACACGTTGCAACCAGGCCTGGTCAGCACAACTGAACCGGTCGATGGACCACGAGTTCGCTTCATTGAGCCCACTTTGCAGAACAGCGGTGGCGTGTCCGTGGATCGTGTGAACCATGCGGCCGCGCATGATGCAGCCTGGTTGTCCTGACGAAAGCACGAGACCTGGCAAAGCACGGGCGTGTCCAAGCGCCGCGCCTGCAAAGGCGCATCGCTTGTCCAAGCGAGCAGTTTGCGACTGGCCCCAAAGCGCAAATCGCGAGCCACGCTGGCCCTGCGCGAATCAGCCCCTAAGACCCCTCTACCCCTGCAAGCATTCAGCGGGCGGGCGAGGGGGGCGGGGACGTGGGGGTACTAGGGCAGCGGCGGCCACGGTTGTTCAGACTTTGATTGTCACGTTTTCGAGCTAGCTTAGCCTCATTCCCAACCCCGCGCGCCCCTCGGAGGCGCGACCTCGGGAGGGGGCGGTGGGCAGGAACATGAAAAAAAAAAAAAAAAAAAAAACCTCTGTGTTTTTTAGCGCCTGGGGGCTGCGCGGCCGACCTCTGCCCGAGTTCCGCCCCCTCCTCCCCCACCTCCCCCGTCCAACAGTATGCCTCTGCTCCCGCCATCCCCCCCCCCTTCTCGGTTTTTGGCCGCTGGTGCATTCAACTGCCTTGCGCAGATTTTCCCCGCGGCGCTGCCATTGAGACACTCGCCGAGGGATGGGCTTGGGGACGAGGGGGCTGACTTCAGACACGTAGTGTAAGTGTTATTTTCAGATGCATACGTCCTTCTGGATGACACAAGCACCTGCCCACGTAGTTCTGAAGAGGAGCCAACCACGCGGTGAACCACTTCACAAAAGACAATTCCCGCGTGGCCCACCGATCTGAACCCAATGCCGCCACAATGGTGCCGAACAACGTCTGGTCCCTCATGCCACGGAACAACGCGGGGTCGAACGCGGAGATGAAGGTCTCCAGGATCTCGCTCAGGGGCGTCACGCAACAGTGGAGCGTGGACCACCTCCACTTGGCAACACTCGGGAACGTGAATACAGAGACAGTCTCTGCCACAGCTGGCAATCCCCGCCCACGCAAACCCTGAACAAGCGTTTCCATCAGATTCCTGTCCCTGAGAAATTGCACAAGAGCCTTCAACTTCGTCAAAAAGTCAGGGAAGAAGTCCAACATTGATAGACCACGCCTGATCACTACATCGAAGGCGTGACGCCACCCGCTAGACCGTATCACACGAGGCATCAAGCGCCCATTCGCCCTGACCCCCCGCGGCACTGGTTCCCTGATGAACCAATAATAATCGGGGAGGAAGTTCGTCATCATATGAATGTTGCGCTCGACGCCGCTGTCAATCAAAACGCCTCGGATGCGCTCTAACATGCGCGGCGGGAGCTTCGGCCCAAACACCAGCGTCAATTGCCACAACAAAGCCACTGTCTTCCCGATCGTGTCTAACTGATCTCTACCCAACGAAATGACGGGCAACAGGCGGCTGTAGTACTCCAGTCTCTCTCCACGCCGCGCGAAGATGTCCACGGTCGAAGCGTAGAGTTCTTTCCCCCTGTGCTGAGGGCTGCCGTCGACATACACAAACAAATCTATCCTCAGGGCGAAAGGTGCTGATGAAACTTCTCCACATGTGCATGGCGAACACATCGAATCGAACGCGTGCCTTCCGCACGACCTCTCGATTGGCCTTGCTCGCGAAGTTCTCCAAAACCTCTGTCGCCTCAGGGCCGAGTTCCAAGGAAATGGCTGATGCCGCCGACTTCAAAGGTTCTCTGATGTTCTTGACATCTGAGAGCCCCATGCTGTGCCTCAAACAAGATATGGTGTGCGACAACTTCTGGTCGGGCTCGATTGCAATCACCTGGTCGCCACTGTCGTGGCCGCCGCCGCCGTCCTCAGCACGGTGAAGGTTTCTAAACCTGCGAAGCTGCTGCGGCGACGGCCTGATACAGAGAAGATCGCGTCTCCTGGGCCGTGACTGGCCGATCGCTGTCAAGTGCGCGATGTGATAGGCATTGCGCACCAGGGCGTCGGCGAGCGAGGGCGAGAACGATTGGACACAGCTTATCAATGGACCATCATCCTGGAGAGCCAACCACTCCCCGACTGTCGCGAACGATCCGTCGAACTCGAGGCCTCGGTCGGCACGTGCTTCATCGGCCTGCCTAGCTGGAACCTGCGAGACTGGCATGCGAGCTGCATCGAGCGCGATCCCGTCCGACGCAGCATACGCCACGAAACCGACGGCCGACCGCCCTGCCAAAGACAAGGGTACCATATCGCGAAACGTTCTACTCTGTTGCTCTTCAGCTTCGGCGCGGGTGATCAGCAACCAACGAGCACGAATGAAACCCACAATTGAACCATCGGCTGCATCACTTTCACTGCGAGGTAACAGCGTGGGCCACAGACCTCTTGAGTCAGCTACAACGACCATGATAAACTCTGGGCCATCGATGCAATCGGGAACTCTGGCGATGCGACGGCCTCTGCCACGCATCTCTGGGACTGGAACTGGGAGATGGGCTGCGCCGCCTACGAATTCTGAATCATCGGACCCAGTGGCCGCCACAACGGCTGGGGCCGCAGCCGCAGCCGCACCACCCACGAAAGAATCTGAATCTGACATGAGTCTGGGCGAGAAAAATGCACCGAATTGAAAATTTGACCCTAAATGTTTACGGGCAGTAGTAGTAGTAGTAGTAGTAGTAGTAGTAGTAGTAGTAGTAGTAGTAGTACGCAGGCTGTTTCAATCGCAGCGTTGGCAAGCGTGGCTCAATCTCAACACACTAGGCGCACTGGTCACGCGTGCAAGACTTCGCCTCATACGTGTTTGATTGTTCCTTCTCCGTCTCTTCACGGGCCCCTCCCTTCTCCCCCTCCTCCCCTTTCGGCCTCAGAGGGGGTTATCCACTTCCCTCTTCTTGGACCTCCTCCTCCTCCTCCATCCCTGCCGTCCCTCCTCCCCCCTGCTCTCTTGAGTCTCCAATATCCTGCCTCCCCTCCTCCCCTCCTTTCTCCTCCTGCTTCTCCTCCTCTTCTCCTTGGGCCAACTTGGAGGAGGCCGACTCGGCCACGCCATTGGAAAAAGTGATTGTCTCGAGGGAAACGCTCGTTTCTAAGATCAGCAGTCAACTCTGGAACTAGATGAACAGCAGGCTTGCATCGCGTGCAAGTAGTCAAAGAGAACAGGGCTGGAAGGCAGATGTAGATAAGAACATCATGCTTCTAATGTTTCTTGCGCTTCTGAAAATCAGAGGTAGACAAAGCCAGGGGACGACTAGAACCACGACTAGGAGGAGGGCATGAGCAGGGGCGGGGCCACTACAATGACTACAAAGGGGCGCACGCTTTTCCCAAACCCATGTCTTACCACGTCGAGGTGGTATACCAGCTGCATTCGAGGACGCCCTCCGCGGAACCGAGCACCGTCTCCAGGCCTCGATGATCCCGGGCTCTCGCCGCCCGTCTGTGACCCGACCTCCCAGGTCACAGGTGGTGGTACTGACGTCGGCTCCGTCGCCCCCGCCGTCGTCGTCTCGACCGTCAGCTCCGTCGGCATCTCCGTAGAGAAACTCGACGCAGTCGGTCCCGTCGGCGTCGTCGCTTTCGTCGTGCATGCTCTGAAGTGCGCGCGCAGGTAGCCGAACAGCAGACCGATGATGACGCAACTCAGGGTCCAGGCGAGCATGACCATCATGAGCGGCTCGAGTCCTCCTCTGTCTTGGTCAGGTTCCGCTCTCGCGCCGCTCACAGGAATCATGAGAGTCGCCAGGAATCGCGCCGATCTCCCCGCGCTCAGCGCCGCGACCACCGCGCTGCCGAACCCGTCGACCGCCGCCAGGCCGAGCATGGACCTGCACTTTTCGAGCGCCGCCTTGCAGAGGAACTTCGTGCCAACGTCTGGGGCATTCTCGATGCCCTTCACTTTCGCGATCTTGATCTGGCCCGTGCCAACAAGCTGTTGAAGCCAGAGCCACTTCACCTCATGATGTCGTGGGCGTCCGAGTCCGCGTCGCGTGGCGATGGCGATGGCGGATGTCGCGTCGCACTCGATCTCCATCGACGCGTCGAAACCCATGAAGCGAACGATCTCCCGCACGTAGAGCACTTCCGCCGCCAACTCCACTGCTCCTAGGTACTCGGCCTCGGGACTCGACTGGGCCAGCGCCGATTCCGTGCGAACGTGCGAGCTTATGGCCGCACCGCACCAGCGCACGATCCCGCAGCAGGTCGACTTCCTGCTCTCGTGGCATCCTGCCCAGTCCGAGTCGGTGCTACCTCGGAGTCGCTTCCAGTCATTGGAAGCGCGGTGGACCATCGCCATGTCGCGGGTCCCGTTGAGGTAGCGGAAGAGGTGCTTCAGGCACTTCACGTCGGCCTTCCGCGGCTCGCTCAGCCGCCAACCGAGCTGCCTCAGCGGGTACATCACGTCCAGCCTCTGGGGGATGGCGTACTGGATCTTCCCGCATCACCTCCGATACAGCGAGTGCTCCTCGCTGTTGAGCGGTTCCTTTGCGCCAGGCTCGGTCAGGTCTGGCCTGGCGCCTGCCGTGCCCACAGGCCGGCAGCCGGTCATCCCCGCGGCCTCGAGGGCGCTCTCCACGCGCCCAGGCTTGCTCTTCTCCACGATCACGTCGCCGAACCGCTGCAGCGACGAGCCGAGGTAGATCACGGGTTCCTCGCCCAGGACGAAGCGGCCCATGATCACGAGGTGCTCCGCGAGCTTGTCGAATAACTCGTCGAGAACGCGCCGCGCTGGACCAGGGGCAAGAGGATCGTCCGCGTGGACTACAACCCTGACCCCCTTCTCGATGTGATGGTATATGGCGGGCTCCGCCTTGCGCGCCTAGAAGCCAAGGCCAGCCGCGATGCTCTCCAGAAGCTGTTGGAAACGAAGCGCTGCCTCTCTGGGCCCGTAGAGAGACTTCTTCAACTTCCACGCCAATCCACGTCCCATGCCTTACTCAGGCGGCATCTCCACGTAGATCCCCGCCCCGTCCTTCACGGGCGCGCGCGTGAAGGCCGCGCTGAAGTCCGTCGTCGCGGCCGCGCGCTTGAGCAGCAGCGCCGCCGCCATCGGCGTCCTCACGGCCTCCGTCCTCGGAGCGCAGGCGATGAAGTCGCCCGCCTGCGCGTCCTGAAACTGCCTCGCGACGAACCTGCTCCGCGCGCCCTCGCCCTTCTTGCGGTGGCGCCACCTCGTGCCCCACACCTCTTTGTCGCGCGGGCGCGGCGCGGGGCCCCCGACGCCGAGGGGCCCCATGCAGTTGGCCCCCCTCTTGGCCCCCTCGTGGGCCTTGTTCGGATCGAGGTGCTCGCCGTCATCGTCGTCGTAGCAGGCCTCCTCCAGCAGCTCGAAGTTCGGGTCGAGCTCGCAAGGGGCGTGGAGCTCGGCGCCACCAGGGTAGCCCAGCTCCGTCACGTTGGCGATCGTCACCGCGCCGATATTCCTCTCCGTGGGCGGCGCCTCGCCCCCTGCAGGCGCGCCGCCGTCGTCGCTGGATATCTTGCCAGCCGCGCTCTGCGGCTCCACGCTCCCCGCCGCCCTCTCGGGTTCGGGGGCGGGCTCGGCGTCCTCCGCAGCGGTCCGCTTGCCGCGCGGTGCGTCAGGAGGCGCCCCCCTCCTTTCCAGGCACCAGTTGGAATGCCTGCATGATATCCCGACGCATCCACTGCGCCCGGGCGTGAACTCCGCCGACGTCGGATTCGGCAGCACTCGCGCAGGTGGTCTTCCCCTCGGTCTCTTTCCCACGGGCTGGGGGTCGTCGCCCTCGATGTCGCCCGCGTTGGCGTCGACGGTCGTCTCGGGCTTCTTGGCCCCCCCTCCTGCAGCCTCGCGGCCGCCGCCTCAGGGCCAGGCTGGCTCGGGCGACCCGGGGCTGGCTGCCCCTCCTGGCTGTCCGCCGTCGGCTGCCCCTCCTGCGCCGCCGTGCCCGCCTCGGGCCGTGGAAGCCAAGCGGGCTGCGGGAGGTTGAGGTCCGGGCCCCCCCCCTGTCCACCACAGGCGCCGACGCGTCGGCCGCCTTCAGGTCCGAGGGGGTGCCTCGCATGGCCAGGGGCAGCTGCTTGTCGCAGCGCTCGCTCTCCACGAGCCCCCGCGCGGACCTCGCCATGATGATGCCCCGGCGCGCCCCGCAGATGCGGGCGTCGCCCTCGAGCGACCTCCCCGAGTGGATCCCGCAGCCCCACGCGGTCTCGAACTTCGCCGCGATGGGCCCAGGCTGTCTCCGCATCACCGCCTCGCCAAGGGGTGCGACTTTCTTATCGTAGTGCTTCTCGTTCTGGCGCTCGAGCGACGTCTTGTAGTCCGAGCGGTGGACCAGGAACCGATCGTGTGTCCACGACGCGTGGCGCGCGATCCATGCCATGATCGGGCGCCCCAGCTCAATCGCGATCCCGTACTTGCCCCCGATGGCCTTCATCCAGGTCCTCGCCGTCCATTCGATGAACGCCCCTCCACCATGCCGCGTCTGCCCTTGCTCGTCTTCGGGGCAGTTATGGACGTCGCCTTGTTGCCGACATCCCGGGCAACCTTGATCGCCGCATCCTTGGCCGCGTTCTCGGGGCCGCACTGCGCGATCGCCTTCTCGCGCCCCAGCTTCTCCACGTAGCGCTGGAGGCATTTAACCACAAACGTGTCTCCACTGCCCTTCGCCTCGCACCAGACTGAAGCCGCAGCGTGGTATGCGCTGTTTATCGCGTTCATGACTGGGTGCGCCTTCTCGTCACGACGCGCCTTGCCGAACATGCACACCTTCTACCTCCGTGATCCTCTCGCGTCGATCGTCCAACCCTCGCCCTGCCGCGCAGTCCGCGCTCCGCGCGGCGCATGGGCAATGGGCGGCCTCGTGGGCCTCCCTCTCCGCCTTCGTAGATTCTCTCGGCGCTGTCACCGCCGTAGCCTCCGGCCTCGCAGCCGGCTCGATGGGCTGGTCGACCTCCTGCACCGAGAACGGGGTCGCGTCGTCCGTGGCCGCGACGTTGACGACCAGACCGTGCCCTCCGTGCTTCGCCCCCGCGCAGGCCATGACCGTCGCGCGCAGGAACAACAGCCCGAACGCCGTAATCAGCCCAAGCCGCTGTCGCCCGCTCTTCGAATCCCTCGTGATCGAAGCCGAGCCCCTCGCACTGGATGGCGGGAACTCCACTCCAGCACCTGCAATATTGATGCTGGTCACGCTCGGGATCGGCCTCGTCACATCTGTCACGTGGATCTTCACATTGATTTCGTCGTCAGACTCCGCCCTCAGGTTCACCTGCTTGTCGCCGTAGTGCCTGATATTCGCCCCAGTCGCGACCTTGATCTCCAGCTTCGTGTCCTGGATGATCGGGTAGTCTGGGAAGTCCTGCGGACCGCACACCGACCGATTCTCGCCCGCGTCGACCATCGCGTCGACCACCTGTCCCACGCGCGTGCCCTTAGAGCCGTCGTACGTGGCGACCGCGAAAATCCAGGCCGACTCGTCGCCGCACACCTGGCACTCGACCGACGCGGTCGTTGCCGCAGCAGCGGTGGTCTCCTTGCTGGGCTGCGCTGGGGCGGGGTCGCCATGGCCCTGGATCTGCTGGCCACGCCAGCTCTTGCCCCAGCCGTCGGTGTTCCAGCCCACGTTCCAGCTGCTCCAGTCGCCCGTGTCCACCTCGTTGATCTTGGCGTAGAAGCCCTTCTGCTTGTGGCCCCACTTACCGCATCGACCGCAGTGTCCCTGGAACTCCGGCTTGCCATCAACCTCGCCGCCCTTGTCGCCTTTGTCCGCGCCTTTGCCTTTCGAGTCCTTACCCTTGCCTTTTGAGTCTCTACCTTTGTCGCCTTTCCAGTCGCCGTACTTGCCAGGCCGTCGGTCCCACTTGCCGCCTGTTTGAGTCCAGCCGACGCCCATCGGCGCCGGTCCTCCAGGCATGGACTGCTTCGTCAGCAGGTAGTATGACGTGACCTTCTTGATCGTGTTCCACTGGATGTCTTCCTTCGGAATCGACAAGAGGACGGATTCTTCAACGCCTCAGGAGATTGCACGATCAGCACCGCCGAGCGGATGTTGTCGCTGAGGGCCTCCTTGGACAACTTCTCGTACTCCTCGATCAGGTTCTCGAACTTTGCGAGGTTGTCCAGGAACTCCGACTCGCCGCCGAAATCGAACTCCAACACCTTCATCAGCCGAAAGAGGATGCTACCCATGTTCTGCGGGTCGCACTGGTAGCTCAGCCTCCTGTGCGCCTCGAAACCGTCCTGATTGCTGACTTTTTCTGACGATGCCGGGTGGCGTGCCCTCTGTGTACATCGTGAGCATGGAATACAAGCTGTGTGGCATCTGCCGCCGCTCGTCGTCGTAGTTGCCGTAGTCCAGCGCGTTCTGGCTATACTCCACCTGATTCATGCCTTCCAGCGCCTTCCTGCTCTGGTTGCCTATGAAGGCCTTGAACTTGAAACTCCAGTCGAAATAGTCCGGCTTCTTCACGTTGCCGAAGGACGGCGGCTTGCCCTTGTCGCCAATCAGGGCACCCATGATCTGGTCCTGGCGCTGCCGACTGGCCGCGCCCGTCTTCGCCGTCGCTGCTGCCGTCAATGAAGCCTGTTGGAACTGGCAAACCGTCGCATTCGGATTCTCGATCAGCGTGAGAAGCCTCCCGATCTCACGCTTGGCCTCTAGTACCTCCTGTGCTAGGGCTTCCACGCTCACTGCTGCGCCCAACTGCGCTCCGCTGCCATCTTGACAGTCCTTTTCTCTCTCAACAGGACTCAGAACCACAAGAGCTAAAGTACAGCAAGATCAGCAAACGCAAAGCAAGCGAAGAAAGGGGTATGGATTGGAGGAATGGATGGGAGGAGCGAGAAGGGGGAAATAGGGGCCATATCTCGACATTGCAGGAAAGGATGTCGTTTCCTTGGTTTTCCGTGTCCAGGTTTATCTGTGTCCTGGTCTCTGGTGGCCTAACGGAGCGCGCCAGGGGCAGGACTGGAGGCGCCGCCCGGGGCCAAACGCAGACCCAAGAATTCCGCGCGGAGCGCCAAGCATTTTTGTTTATGGCGTCCTCTCTTCTTCGATCGTCTCCCGCCTCCCTCTCCTCCTCTTCGTCTTCAGGCGCAGTGCATTACGATCCTTCGTCTGACATGTCAAGGCTTGACGCCAAATGGGTAATGGCGAGTCGTGTCAGGAGAGCTGGGTGAGCCGCCACAGGGCGTGCGCAACGCGGATGGCGTGCCAAGGACGAGGAGGAGGAGACAATGATTTGGGGAGGAGGGGGATGTAGCCGTGCTGTTCGGGCGAAGAGACAATAATTTGAGGAAGAGAAGCTTATTTTGGGAGGAGGGTAAACATGATTTGGGGAGGAGGGGGATGGGGCTGCACTGATGCTAAGAAATACGATGGGGCCTCCAAGATGATGAGAGCATTCAGCCGTGCATAGGGCAAACATGAGGGGAACAGGAAGCAACCCGTCTGCCGCCGTCCTCCTCACCATGCTCGTCGTGTTCACCTGGGCAGGCAGCCGACGCAAAAAGCTTCGACATGTTCGAACGCAGCCAGCTTCCAAAAAGGTTGGGCATGCAAAAACGCAGTCACCTCTCAGAGACTGAGGGCAGTCACGCGACAGCTGGGATTCTTTCTCGAGCTGCTACGTAGATGAAGACGAATACTATCGGGCTCGCCTGAGTATCTCATCGCTGCCCCTAGCCCTGAGATCCGACGTCGCGAAATACATGCAGCATCATGAGACATCACTACCGGAGCCGTGGACCACATCCTTCTGCTGCATTCCTTCGAGACAGCTCTGTCTGTGAGGTTCCGAGGGCCTGGAACCAGGCGAAACGCCTGGCGGTGAGAAACTGCAACACCGGGGTCTCAGGGAGGGCACCACAAACCCAAGTGCCAGCCTCCTCCTCCTCGTGCCTCTCCTCCTCCTCCTCCTCCTCTTCCCCCTCCTGCTCCTCCTCCTGCTCCTCCTCCCCCTCCCCCTCCCCCCCCTCCCCTCCCCCTCCTCCTCCTCCTCCTCCTCCTCCTCCTCCGCCGCCTCCTCTCCTCCTCCTTTTCTTTCTCCTCCTCCTCCTCCTCTTCCTCCTCCTCCTCCTCCTCTTTCTCCTCCTCCTCCTCCTCCTCCTTCTCCTCCTCCTCGTCCTCCTCCCTTCACAATTAAACCATATGATTACTACTCGCCTCTCTCCCTGGTGTCGTCCTGGAAATGGCTGGCCCCCTTCCGCGTATGGTTTTTGTACACACAGAATTTCCCAGAAACGGGTTGTGTTGGGTTTTGTTCAACATGCTGCTCCCGCTGAAACGCTGGAACCATTTTCGGGTTACCTCTCGTTCTGAATCGTGCTCCCGCTACAGCGCTGGCCTCATTTCCGCGCTTCCGCTCGTTCCGAATCGTGCTGCCGCTGCAGCGCTGGCGTCATTACTTCCAGCGCTATGCCACGGCATGGTTTTCGGTCCCTCCAAATAGACCTCAAAATCTAGAAAATGCCCCACCGAAAAAACCATCAGACGTGATTACACATCCGATCCGGTGTCGATTCGTTGACTTTTTGGGCCACAGAAGACCCCCCCACTTTGGGACGTCGCCACGTCATGCTATGTCAGGGTACGTGTCCTCATTTCCGCGTTTCCGCGCTTGGGTTTTTGTTCGCTGAAGCGCTAGCTTCATTTTCGGGCTATCGCTCGTTCCGAATCGTGCTCCCGCTGCACCGCTGGCCTCGTTTCCGCTCTTCCGCTCGTTCCGAATCGTGCTCCCGCTGCAGCGCTGGCGTCACCATTTTCAGCGCCATGCCGCGGCATGGTGTTCGGTCCTTCCAGGTAGGCCCCCAAATCGGCAGTGATTACACGTCCTGTGTCGATTCGTTGACTTCTTGGGCCGCAGAAGCCCCCACCCCCACTTGGGGACGTCGCCACGCCATGCTATGTCAGGCTACGTGTCCTCATGTCCGCGCCTCCGTGCTTGGGTTTTTGTTCAAAATGCTGCTCTCGCTGAAGCGCTAGCTTCATTTTCGGGCTATCGCTCGTTCCGAATCGTGCTCCCGCTGCAGCGCTGGCCTCATTTCCGCTCTTCCGCACGTTCCGAATCGTGCTCCCGCTGCAGCGCTGGCGTCACCATTTCCAGCGCCATGCCGCGGCATGGTGTTCGGTCCTTCCAGATAGGCCCCCAAATCGAAAGTGATTACACGTCCGGTGTCGATTCGCTGGTCCTTCTAAATAGGCCCCCAAATCTAGAAAATGGTTTCCCGAAAAAAACACCCGAAGTGATTACACCTTCGGTGTCGATTCGTTGATATTCTGGGCCGCAGAAGCCCCCCACTTGGGGACGTCGCCACGCCATGCTATGTCATGCTAAGCGTTGATTTTCAAACCCATGATATGCTATGTAATGCTATGCCATGCTGCGACATCCGATTGTGCGAATAGAGAGGATATCTAAGCCATGGTAACGGATGGGAGCGAGGGGTAGCACGTCAGATATGACGCTTGTCCCCCTCCCCCTCCCCCTCCTCCCCTTCCTGCTCCTCCTCCTCCTCCTCCTCCTCCTCCTCCTCCTCCTCCATTCCTCCCTATCCTCCTCCGTTCGTCCTCCTCCTCCTCCTCCTCCGCCTCCTCCTCCCCTCCCCTTCCTCCTCCTCCTCCTCCTCCTCCTCCTCCTCCTCCATTTCCTCCTCCTCGTCCTCGGAGGGATTAGAGGAGGGTTGGAGGAGGGTGGGGAGGCTGGGGAGGAGGCGACGGGAAGGGGAGGGGGCAGGCGGGGTAGGGACCTCTTCGGACGTCCAGGGGTTAGGATCCGCGGCGGAACTGGAACTTACCGCCCGACCCCTCACCCTCCTCATCCGCATCCCCCCTTCCCGCTCCTCCTCCCCCACTCTTCCTCCTCCTCCTCCTCCTCCTCCTCCTCCTTCTCGTTGTCCATCGTGAGGCGGGCAGGAAACAACAAGGATCCCAGCACGCAGGCTGAGGATTCAAGCTGTGCGCTGTGCAGTGCCCGCCACCCAAATAGGAAGAGTGTCGTGGGCCTGGATGATACGTCGTTGGTGCCCATGCTGCGAAGCTGGAACCCACTGCTGTGCCCCACGCCCTGCATGAGAAACCGATGCCGCCAGAGATGTGGGGCAGGTTGGCGAAGAACCACCACACCAGCCAGAGACGGTGGAGAAGCTTGGGATGTGCAGCGCCTGCAGAAGCGCTCTGGCACGCGACAACATGAGACCAGCGCATGGCCACATGATACAAAGCCAACAAGCGAGGTGTTGCGCAGCCACAGCTCGTTTGGCGGGCAAAGCACCGCCATCCCGCCAACCCTCTTTGGATGCGGATACCACAGCTAGAGCATGCGTCACTCTTAGACAAGCAAAATATATGCTCGCGAATGGCCTGGATCCGCCGCGGGGGATATACGACCCACTGCATCGAGGCAAAACACGGTTTTTTCCCCCAACCATCCTGTGATGTTGGGTCCTCGTTTTGAAGAGACAGCGCCCCGTGTTCACTCCTCCTCCCGCGGCCCCCTCCCTCCCTCCTCCATCATCATCGTCATCACCCGTTTCAGCACACCCCTCACACGTCGCGTGGCCCCATAGGGAGCTCCACCGAAGGTCCCAGTACTACCGCCCGCATGCGTCCCCCCCTCCACCAGCACAGCGTTTCGGACGCTTGCGAGTATACATACGGTGTTGCTACAAGTACCCCTGGCCCAAGGTGCCCCCAGCTTTTCGCGCCAGTTTGGAGCCCCTGGGGTCCTCTGGGCCTCGTGAGGGGTGCCCTGGGGCCGCCTGGGCCACCCCGAGAATCCTGGGGGTACCTTGGGCCAGGGGTACTTCTGGCAATACCCGAATGCACTTTGCGAGTAGCGGATCGCGCCCCAGTGAACTGTAGCCCTCGCCCGCGCGACTCGATGTCTAGCCTGCCGGGGTGCTGGCCGCCCTCCCCCCATCCTCCCCTCCTCCCCCTCTCCCCCTACAGCGGACGCGCACGACAAGAGAGTCTGCTGTGAGAAATCTTGGGGCATATCCCTCGTCGTTCGTTGAGGGGGCCAAGAATGACATACACATGAATGGGGGCCAATGCAGCGGGGGCCCGACCACGAGAAACCTTCCACAAGAAACGCAACCCTAAGACCCCAGGACGTCCACGGATTTTGGGTGTGGGTAGGCCACCAACTCCATAGCAACGAACCATCGAAGCCCAATAAACCCAAGGCACCCTGGAGGCAAGCAGGGTGTTTCTTGGCATAGGTCTCCACTGTAAACATAAGGGGAGGAGGAGGAGGAGGAGGAGGAGGAGGAGGAGGAGGAGGAGGAGGGGGAGGAAGAGAAGGACGAAGAGGAGGAGGAACAGGAGGAGGGCAAGGAGGAGGAGGAGGAGGAGGAGGAGGAGGACAAAGGTTTGGATCGGCGCTGGGCCCCCCTCCGTGGCGCGCGGAGCGCGCCAAAGGGCGGCGACGGGGGCGCCGCCCCGGGGGCTCCCGCGCCGCTCCGAGAACTCCGCGCGGGCCTCCGGAAGTTTATGGCCATGTCTTTTGTTCCTCGCAGGGTGCCCCTGAGGAGGAGGAGGAGGAGGAGGAGGAGGAGGAGGAGGAGGAGGAGGAGGAGGAGGAGGGGAGGAGGAGGAGGAGGAGGAGGAGGAGGAGGATTTGGAGAACGAGGAGGAGGAGGAGGAGGAGGAGGAGGAGGAGGAGGAGGAGGAGGAGGAAGTGGAGGAGGAGGATTCTGTGGGTCAAGTGGGGGGCCATCGGGTGATAGGAGCCTTCCATGGGGCGCCCGCTGACAGGTCGATCTCTGACGTGGCGTGTCTGCTGTACCTGGGCGCGCGCAGACAGCCGGTGGCCGAGGGCAGAGCGGCCGGAGGCCAGCCCCGACGCATTCGTGGGACAGGAGATGCGCCAGCATCCAACTGCTGCCAGACTCAGTCTGTTACGAACCGTTGTCGCCACCGCCGTGGTCGCCGTCCACAGCGTGGAAGGAGGACTCCCCGCCAGCTCGAAACAATCGGCTGGCCAAGCGACCATGGGCTGAAAAGCAGCTGCATGACCATGCCTGCTTGAGAGTCATCTGCCAGCTCGCAGACTCTGGCCGAGGTGCACTTCAGTTCTATCGGCACTGCTTCGAGCACCATCGGCGTCGGCGCCTTGGCTGGAAAGGTCACTGCGTAGACTCTAGATAGGGAGCAACGGGCCTGGCGCGGATATTAGCAGCAAGTAGGCAATGATTCGAATCCGATACTGCCGTGAAAGAAACACGGAGGAAAAGGAAGATAAGGAAAAGGGGGCAGAGAAAGAAGCGGAAGGGCCACGAGGTATGAGCAGCACTCGGAGAGCGCAGAACCGCCGGCTTCATCCGGCACCACGTCACCATTCTCTTCGTGCGCGCCATGATCCTCGTGATCTGAAGATGTGTTTTAAGTCGACCGCCAAAAGCAGCGGCCTGCCTTGCAACAGAAGGGCCGGGGCCTGTCCACCACGCGCGCGCGCGTGCGCGCCCTGGAATGCTATCGTGGAGCCCGCTTGCGCGCCCTCCGCCGCCTGACCGCCTCGCTCGCTCCTTTTCCTCCTTCTCCTCCCTCTGCCCAATGTCCCGCGGGACCAGAAGCTTTTTGAGTGCTGTGGGTGCACGTTTCCCCGCTGACTCGCCAGTGCTGCCTCTCCTCTCGCCCCTACTGCTCCAGCCCCGCAGTCCTGATCTATGCTCCTCCTCATCCCCCTCTTCTCTTCCTGCTCCACGCCCCCTCCCAAATCCCTTTTCCTTACTATATGTATATCCTCCCTGCTGCGCACCCAGTCGTGTCAGTAGGGCGGGCCAGAGGTTTCGCCTGAGACTTCCCCACCACGTACGACCCTGAATGCACGCGCTCCCCTACCCCCGTCGCGGAGAGAGGGGAAAGGAGGGCTGCTCTTTTTCTTGAGCAACAAAGGGTTGCAGGATTTCGGGCCATCGCCCAAACAGTCTCATTATAATATGATATAATCACACATCTTAATGAAACTACGAACTTCCTAGCACCTCTCCTAGGGCGCAGGGAAGCGGCTCGGCCTCCAGCCGAGAAGCGTGAGCAGGGTGCCAGCTTTGTGGTCCCTTCCGCGGGCCTTCCGCGGGCCTTTCGCGGGCCTTCCGCGTGACTTCCCACAGGCCCTCAGCCCCTGCGCGGGGCTACGCGCCGTGGGCAGGCGCGGGACTAACCGCAGCCTGGTCGTTAGCTCAACCTCGGCTGTCCTAGTGCGTCCTGCGATTATCCGTCTAGCTCTCTGGGTGGATCAGCTGAGAGCCATCGGAACGATCTCGGCACTCGCTCTTGAACGTCTCGATCCACTTCTGCGCGGCCACAGGACTACTCAAGTCCTGAAGGTTGATCCTGGTCAGGGGTCCGCGCGTCGTAGCGGTCACTCTCAGCTGCCCGATCTCCTTGGCCTGGCGGCGATCCGACAGGAGGTTACCTTTCTTCATCACCGTCATGATCAGGTCGTCCTGGAGACCACTGACGCGTAGGCCTTCGGCTCTCCAGATCTGCTTCAAGTCGACCACGAGAAACGCGTTGAAAAACTTGTGCCCCGATCCTCCGTCGCATCGTGGTGGGCGAGGCTCTGTGCAAAGTCCCTGTACACTTACGGTCTTGACCTCCGTGTCAGTCCACGTAGCCAGGTAGACGTCGGTGTCTCCAGGAGCGGGGTCAACCGCCTCCTGGATGAGGTCCCTCTTCAGGTAGCTCCTCGCGTAGCAATCGCACACGCAGCCTAAAAAAACACCGCAGCGATCACCGCGAAGACACCCGTCTTCAGGATGAACCAGAACTCCACACTGTCCACGTAGTGGGGCACAGGTGCGGGGCAAACCGCTGCCTGGCCAAGCTCCTCGTACACCGCCACCTTCTCGCCTGACGCAGAACTCACGGCTCCCGTGAAAACTGCCATCGCGCTCAAGCCCTTGCACTGTTTCCCGAGCGTGCGGTTCAGGGTGGTCCAGTGCTTCTTATCGTCGACCACTCGCTGTACTTGGTGAGCATGCCTGCCGTCATCTCATTGGCGTCCTCCTTCAGGAGCTCAGACGCCTCGGGTCGCAGCCGCTCCTGAATCCACAAGTACCTCAGTTCCAGGTGCCTGACCTTGCCCGCGCCCACCCTGCTGCACATGCCCCGTCCCACGGCGCTCTCGCTGTAGACCTTCAGGTTGCAGGGCCTCTGGGTCTCGATCAGGTAGGTCTGGCACTGGAGTCCTCTGGCAGTCGCACTGCCTGCAGCATGCATCTCGGATTCCCCTGAGCTTAGAGCTATGGTGCTCTGCGTCACTGAGTAGCAGTTCCATGCGCGGTCACCATGCCGCACTGCTCCTCCACCCGTGGATCGTCTCTGCAATTCGCTGGTAGGGGCCCAGTCTGCATCTCCGTTCACACGAATGCCTTCGGTAGTACCCTGCAAACGGTTACACCCGACCAACACAGGCTGTCCTTCGCAATACCCTCCAAGCCGCTGAACTCGCGCATGCATCAGAACATTGGGAATTGAAACGCGCTGCATCGCGGTCTTGCAGGCGCACATCGTGTCGGGCCTGTCCGAAGAGAGGTAGAACGCCGTGCCTGCTGCACCTGCAACTTCCCGAGCTCGATCCTTGGACAGAAGGTCTAAGCTGTCTGGTCGTCCTTGTCCTGTCGCTTTCGTCCTTGGAGTAAGAACTGGCTTGCACCCTCGCTTCTGTGCCGACTGAATCATGACATCCACGTGCTGAGGATCCGCTGTCCAGAAGAAACCTGGATCCTCTGAGCCTGGCAGCTTGTCGGTGTACCCGATGATCCTCTTGAGGTAGTTCGTCCGCCCAGCTCTTCCAGGATCCAGTCTGACACTCACTGTGACCTCGAACTGCTGTTTCAGCAACTCGTCGAGCTCGTCCAGCTGCTCGTCGTAGCCTTCGGCCAGAAAGTCGCCTCCGTGGCAGATCGCTGTACTGTCCTCGTCGACGGCAGGGGCGTTTGGGCTCGCTGGTAAGTAGAAAGCGTTAAGTGTCGCCGTCAAGCATTCCCAATGGCCGTCGCCCATGGTAGTCCGCACCAACTCCCCCCACATCTGCGACGCCTTCCTGGTGCCGCCCATGGCCTTCCGCAGCCACTAGCACCTTCCAGGAGGGCACAGCTCGCGCCCAGGAGGGCACAGATCGCGTCCAGCTCGTTTCATCGAGGCCGGCGTTGAAGAAAGCCTTCCTGACGTCCCAGACCTGGATCATCCGCTTGTGTTCTCCCGTCGAAGTAGGGCTCGATGCGGCGCGGCTTGGCGTCGCCCTTGCAATCATGAGCGGCGGCGTGCATCGGTGGTTGTCCCCGCGCACCTCGTGCTCGTTGATCTCCGTCGCCACGAAACTCCACCTAACTCTGCCATCCTTCTGATGGGCTATGGGGAAGCCTCCGATATGCTTGCCGTCGGTCGCCGTCGGCGTCGCCACTTCCGCGTAGACCCCGTAGTCCTTCATGGCCCGAAGCCCGTCGTCGCGACCCTTCTGGTGCAGATCCTCGTCCAGGGGTTCTCCAGTGCAGTAATCGTAGTGCATCGTCTTTGGGCCCCGCTGGTCGTGCTCGTGCAACTCGGCGCTGACCTCAACCATCTGCTCGATCTGCTCCTCGTCAGGTTCTCCTAAGTGACTCCTGATGGTGCCAGTTTGGCTCATCCGGCAGCGCCTGCATGCACGCTCACCTCGGTGGCACTCCCGCAGCTCGCATCTCGACGAACGCTTCTCACGCCTATCCGGAGCATCTTGAACTTCGCTTCGGGCGTGAAACCCACATCGGGTCGAAAGTCTCGTCGTGACCTTCCTCGCAGACTGCCAGAAAACAGACTGAAAGCATACCGATGGTTGCTACTCTCGGCTTCTTGATCTCTACTTCGGCCCTCGGGACTCCTGGGGCGCCTCTGTGGAAGTCGCTCCTGATATGATCAGGTTCCGTCTGCGTGGCTGTCTGTGCTTCTGCCTCTCTTGGGAAAGGAGGCATGGCCGCGTCTTCTGCAGCAGGCGCGGGCGCTACCGCTACCCCGCTGCTGCTCGATGCCGCTGGTCCAGCCGCTGCTCCAGGCGCGGGGCCCCCCGCAGCCGGGGTTGGCACCGCCGCCGTAGCCTCTGGGGCCACAGGGTCCTTCCAACTTCTCGCGCAGGCGGTCGGCCTGGGTCGTCTCGTACCGCTGACGGCAGGCTGCCGAAAGCGATCCATATCCAGCGCTGCACTCCCTGCAGTCGTCGGTCGGGCCGCGAGCGCCGATCACGCGCTCCGCAATGCACATGCTGCGCCTGATGAGCCCTGCACTCTTGCCATGGACGTGCCTCCACGGCGCGGCCCTCATGTTCTGGATGAGCTCAGGCTGCCACCTAAACTCCTCTGGCACCCCCCGCGCGGCCCTGACCTTCTGCGCGCCGCGCCCTGGGTCGATGACGAGGTGAGTGTCGTCCAACTCGCTCTTTCCAACCCAGATCCCGCTCGCGAAGCGGGCCTCCCACTTGCCGCGTCCAGCAGCAATTCGGGCTGAGATCCGATGCCAGACCTGCTCGCCCATCTCTGCGATCCCCACATTGCACCCCCTGCCACGCAGCATCTCGTGGGAAAAGCCCCCATGGCATCGCGGCTGAAGCCCGGTGACCATGCAGCCCACCGAGTTGACGAGCCGCGGCGCGATCGGATCCGCCATCTTGATCTCGCGCCCCAACTTGCGCTCCAGAATCAGCTTGTCGGTCCGCAGCAATCCTGGTGCAGGCTTGTTGTCACCCTCGGCGCAGCCAGCACTCAGCCTGGCAAAAGGCGGCGATCCCCGCGCCGAGGAAGAGTGAGACCTGCGATCTCGAACTGCACTCGCAAGGGCCATGGTGGCAGGCCCCTGGTCTGTCTGAAGCACATATGTCGTGTGACCCCAGACCTCTAGCACAGCTATCAGGAAAGACACCTTGTAGTCATCCAACTCTTTGTTAGCGCGCAGCGTCGCCTGTGCCAGGATCTTGCACTCGACCGTGTTCAGAACCGCGATCGCCCGTTCTAGATCTGCTGTCGGTACCGGCGGCTTCTCGCGGACGCTGAAGTAGCCTCCTATGAGCTTGTGCTTAGCTGCCAGATGGTCAGTTCCAACGCAGAAGATGTCGGACACCACCTTCGGCACTTGCTTCTCGCACCTGCACGTGGCGCGGGCAGTCGCCCGCTCGAGCCCCCGCGCACAATGGGCACCAAAGGCGAAACGGTAGGTGATGCCCTTGGCGCGCGGCCCTCTCCGCAGCACTACGCCGGCAGGGTGACTTCAACACCCTCGTCGGCGCACTCGTAGTCTCGTCCGCCTCTGGGCCGAGAACCCCCGGCGAAGATCCAGCTTCTTGCTCAGCTGGGACCTTCCGCGGCAGCGTCTTCCTCGATGCTGCTACCTGCGTGGCGTCTGGTTGAGTTTTGCCCTCTATGATGTGATCGTACTCTACGTAATAGTTCGCCTGATGACGTCGTAGAGGCACGAACCCAGCTTCATCTGGTGGCTCGATGGCGCCGTTGAAGGTCCAGTGACCTGCAGGGCTATGGAGAACGCTCTGGCCTCTTTGCACTATCGCATCTGCCGCCGCAACGGGGCGCCCCGCGTCGACAACGTCCGCGCCAACTTGGATAACCCCTCCTCCTCTGGACAGGTTAAGCTCCACATTGCCGTGCCTCTCGATCCCCTCGCCCCCGATACCCTTCAAGTCAACGACGTTGCTATCCGTCGGCGCGTAGATGGGCTGGGTTGCCTGCTTTCGCGGCGCCGCGTTGATCTGCGCGCCTGAGCCGAGCGCGATGGCATTTCGAAGCGGGGCTAACTGCAGTCGGTCGTCTTCTAGCACCTGCTCTTGTAGGCCTCCGACCTCGAGCAGCGCGGGCCCGACCGCGGCTGACTCGGAGCAGCTGCCAGATGCCGAAATTCGAGTGATCGTGCTTGTCCAAGCAGTATTCTGCGCGCGCCCCGCTGAAATCCAGCCCCCACTCATGGTAGCGCCAACTTCTGCCCCTGAACATCTTCTTGCACGAGCTGCAGACGAACTCATTGTAGGAGGGCCAGGTGCACTTCCAGCCGATCCTGTGGCTTCGGGCTCTGCGACCTCGGACCTCAAGGCCAGAATCATATTCCCTTGCGGACCTCTGCAGACTGGCGAGGTGACTGGCGATTGCGATCTCGGCGCTGCTGCGTCCCTGGCAGAGGCTGCGCGTGCACCGCCGACCCTGTCGCTGGAGCTACTCCTGCTTGTCGCAACCTCTCGAGCTCTCCTTCTGCCGCTGTTGCGACACTCTTCTTCTGGTTGACATTTGTTTTTTCTGTGCTGCTAGTTGTCCTTGTTGTCGTGGCTGGCGGTCGCCGTCTTCTCGTCGGCTATCCGCTTGCGGCAGTTGGCGCAGCAGTGGCCTTTCTTGTGGCAGTAGTCGCACTCCAGGTCGGCGCCTGGGTTCGGCGGCTTCTACTGGCCCTTGCCTCCCTTGCCTTTGCCGCGGCCTTTCCACGCCTTCTTGCCGCCTTCCAGCCCGCCGGTGCCCATCGGATCGTCGCGGGCCGCTCGCTCCGCCTTCAGCGCCGATGCGACTTCGGCTAGCAAGAGCTCGCGCGCGTTCAGCCGACTGATGTTCCGAAGCACGCGTTTCTGCCAGTCGCCGTGATCCTCGAGCGCCTTAGCGAGGATTCCTCGCTGGATGAGGTCCGACACGGGCTCGCCCGACATCTTCTGGCACCTCGTCATTTCCTCGTCGAGCTTGCTGCTACTCACCATCACGTCGCCCGTTGCCTCGAACTTCGCGTCCGTGAGCTTGGCCCGCATCGCTAGCACGTTGCCTGCTTCGCTTGGGTTGTACTCCTTCTGCAGCTGCCTCCAGCGCGCCGCTCCTTCACCCGTGCTGCTGTTCCTCGCGATCATCTCGCCCGCCGAGTCCTCGGGCATGACCAGGGCCAGGGCGAAGTGCAGCTGCGTGCTTAGCTCCTCCTCTTGGGCTGACAGGTTCACGTTGTCCGTCGCTCCGTCTTCGCACTTCTCGAGGAGAGGTCGGTGCCTTGTGTCTTGCGCGATCAGGTAGGCTTTGTACTGGAAGCTGGACGTCTTCCAACTATCTCTCTGACCGTCGAACAGCCTCACTTTGTGAAGAATCTTCGGGTCCATCATCTCGCCACGAGGCCCTCGTTCTCTGTCGGCTTGTCCTTGAAGCTGGCCTCGCATATCGGCTATCGCTTGATCTCGCTGCTGAAGCTCCGTCCTCATCTGCTGATTCTCCGTCGTCAGCCTCTGCACTTGCTCGACCAATTCTCGCATTTGACCTTCCATCGTCCTTGTCGGCCTTCGCTTGGCGCTGGAGATCGAACGCGAGCTGTCGCTTCACCGCTGCTCGCTCCTCTTCCGTCAGCTGAGCCGCGTCGCCGCACTCGGCCAACTTCCTCCAAGCGCTCCCTCGGTTCTGGCGCTGGGCTCTAGCCTCGGGGGCTCTGCCACCGCGTTCGTTCGCCTTCTTAGCCTTGAGTTTGCTCGCAGGCTTGGCCTTAAACTTGCTCGAAGGCTGGAGTCGAACCCTGGTCCCGACCTCCTTGCCAGGGCGCGGGTCCTCCCGCAGCTCTGGCCAGCAAGGGGTATTCTGTCTGCTAGCAGCGCGGATCGTCTCGCAGCTGTTTCAGCGGCCCTTCCGCCGCTGGACCCGCGGCGCGCCGCCGCTGAGCCTCCTCGAAGGGCTCCTGGAACTCGCTGAGTGCGGAGCTGGCCCGCGAACCTCAAGCGAGCTCCGCTACCATGCACGCGCTCCCCTACCCCCGTCGCGGAGAGAGAGGGGGAAGGAAGGCTGCAATTTGTTCGTGAGCAACAAATGGATGCAGGATTTCGGGCCATCGCCCAAACAGACCGATTATAATTGGAACGAATCATACATCTGAATGCAACTGCAAACTTCCTAGCACTGAAGCCCGAAATTCGCAACAGCTTCACGGATGGATGGGGGGACTTCAGCGTGAGGCTCTCGCCTTCGCGCTGTTGACTTTCGTTCGCAAAGTTTGCAGCAACTTCACAGATGGAGGGGAGCGAATTCAAAATGAGGGTCTTGCCTTCGCGCCGCGAACATTCCTCTGAAAAGCTCGCCACAGCTTCGCGGATGGAAGGGAGTTGCTTTCAAACTGTGGCACGTGTAATTTTCAATCATTTCAGTTGGAATTACCCGACACTTCCAATTGAAAATTCAAAATGTGCCTTGTGTAAGTCAGCACCGCGCACATTCACTTTCAGCGACAAGAAAGGCGGTTCATGCTTGTCGACATGGAGCTATCGCAGCCCGGGGAATCCAACGGGTACCTATACCGCTACACCGTGGACCTCGCCCATGGTGCGTTCTGACTAGAACTTCGAGGCGCACCCAGCGGTGGCGACGACGGCCTCCAAGGAGGCCCAGAAAAAGGGAAAACGAGGGGAGGGGAGCGGTACGGGTACCGTGGTCTCCTCTGACAACCGGTTCACGGATGGGGGGGGCCAAGTTTCAAAATGTGGTTCTCGCCGCAGTGCCGCGCACAGCCGTCCCAAAAGTGTGCAGCCGCGTGGTTCCGGATGGCGGGCGGCCCCTCCTCTCGAGCCGTGGCCTCCTCGGCCGAGGACGGCGCGCATCCGCCCCGGGAGCTGCAAGCACAACAACGGACGGAGAAGGGTTTCAACGTGTAGTCCTTGCCAACGCGCCGTTTACACTCTTCAACGGGCTGCGAAGAGCTTCGCGGACAGGCGGTTCCTTTCCCAAGCGAGGCCACCGCTTCAGCGCCGCGTCCATTCGTCTCAACATCGAGCATGAGCTCCAAGGGTCGGGCCTGATTGCTTTAAACATGCGCTCTCGCATCAGCGCCCCGCGCACTCGTTTCGTAACTGCAGCGTCTTGCAAAGGGTGTCGCCTGAGAGTTCGTTAAACGCACTGCTCGGAAACTTCACGCACGTAGCGCTGCACGAGATCATGGAGACCCTTTTCCAAAATGGAGGCGTCGCTTGAAAATTCCTGAAGGTTCCTGACCACACGTGTAAACTTGTGCAACAGTTACACGGGTGGAGGGGGCGGTCCTTTTTCGAAAGGGGGATCTCGATGGTCACCTCGTCGGACTGCATGATCATGTTCACGTTTCCCATTACGCGCCATGAGTGTGCAAGGCGACTCCTCTTCAAACCCGGATTCTCGTCAACATAGCAGGCACAACTGTGCTGGTCTTTGGAAGGAGGCGATTCTGGCAGTGAAACGGAGGGGTGTAAAACGCTGATGTGTCCTTGGCATACTCTGGCCCTTTTTCCTTCTTCTTCTCCTCCTCCTCCTCCTCGTCCTCCTCCTCCTTCTCCTACTCCGCCTCCTCTGCCCAACTGAACCATTCCCAACCTTCTCCTGGTCCTGGGGAAAGGCCAGCGCAGGGCAAGGTAGAAGCAGCGATTAAAGGAGACCTGGCGCGCGCGGGGGTCGAGGACGGCCAAACTGCCAAAACTCTGGCTCCCGATCCTGTGACGACCGAGCGTGTCCGCAAAACTCCAAGAAACACATACGGAAACAAACGTGTAGGATCAGCAAGGCGCAGACGAAGCCGGCCGGGGAACGCAGGCGACAGCAGAAGGGGGGGGGGCTGTTGGGTGGAATGACAAAACGTGACAAAATATAGGACGCTTTGGGACAGTGAATACACAAGGGGGCAAACGGAGAAGGAAAGGCAGGCGTTAGAGGAGAAAACGGCGAACTGAGAAAAACCCAACGGTCGGAATAAGTGTGTAGCCACATGAAATAGGAAGGCGTTACAAGTTTATTGGGTTTCCCCACGCCTCTTAAAATGAACGAAGCAAGAAAAAGGCTCACTGTAAGAGAACGCCTGAAGCCGATTGGGATCTGACAGCCCAGGAATACCCACTGCCAGCGACCGATGGGTACAGGTGAGCGGCATGGGTTGGCACACGCGTGATGCAGTTGCGGCAGATTAAGCTAGTGGCAGGAGGAGCGCCTGGGCAACGGAAGAAGAGCACGGAAAGTTTGCTAATGCAGCTCAAGACAGGAGTAGATTGGGATCGCTGGGAATCATAAGTAGCAGAAGTGAAGGCCTTCGCCTTCGCCGTGGCCTTCCTCGTGAGCGCCGTGATCTTCGTGATCGCCTCGACTGTGGGGAGGCAGGGTGGCTTGGAGGATCCCAAACCCGCAAGAACCCTCTGGAACCAACAGTCGGCCAACGAGGAGTGGCAACTGGAAGGAGCAAAACGTTTTTGGTGCAGCCCGCAATCGCGGTCGCAGCCACACCCTTTCTTCCTCAGGACGGGCGGCCGACTCGTCGTGGATCTTCTGACCCTGATCAATCCAGACAGGCCTTGCAGATCTTGCAGGCCTGCACCAATCAGGCCTTGTAGAATCTTGCAGGCCTTCGTCAATCTGGCCTTGCAGAATATTCTTCAATGATCGTCAATCAATCTGACCAATCAGGACTCGTCGTGGATCTTCGTGAATCAGGCCTTGCAGAATCTTGCAGGATCCTGCAGGATGCTGCAGGACCCTGCACCCAAGCCCCCAGGGCACTGCGCCCGTGGCCCTGCAGGATCCTGCAAAACATCCGGCGCTCTGCCTGACCTCTGTTCGCATGGACCCCGTCTCTTGAGTCTCGAGCTCGACACACAAATGAATACACACAAATAAAAATATCCCCAATATGTACCCCTATTTTCTTGGTTTTTGTCTTCCCCCCCACTTCCCATATTTTCCAATATTTTCTGGGAATCGCCGATGAATTGTGTCTGTGTGTTTTTTCCCCTCCTGAGACACCTACTACGCTGGCATGGGAGCCCTAAAACCTGGAGCTGCCGGAGAAGGCCCACGTGAAGTACGGAGACATGTATACCGATCGGACCACCCTACGGGTGATAAGGAGGTTGGGAGGGGGGGGGGAGGCGGTCGAATGCAATGGCATTGAGTTCCTTGCCTCTTTCTTCAAATGTCTTTTCGATCACTCGACCGATATATCAAAGTATAGATTAATAAACCATATATACAGCTATATATATATATGTACGCCAATATGGCTATATAATCACCTACCTATCTATAGGTCAGTGCATATACACGTATAAACATACACTTATAGAGTTAGCTAACTACGCATATTCTCAATACCCACATATATAAGTGTGTGTCTGTGAAAATATCGATACATAAATATGTATACATGTGTATATATATATGAATGTATATATATATATACATATAGCTAGGGTGGTAAGTGGTGTGGTGGTGATGGTGGCGACGGTGATAAGGGCGACACCGCCCCGAACCCCCAGTGCCGCCGCCGACACCGCACCGCCCGAGTAGCGCTGCCTCACTAAGCGTGAACCAAGGTATGGCCCAGAGCTGGCAAAGTCTGGCGCCGTGAGCTGGCGCGGCCCACTCCACGGCGACATGCTGTTGTTATGTGAATGCTGCCAGCCCTCTGCAAGCCGAAGCAGCTTGAGTGCAAATGTCTTCGCAATGATGGTGGTGATGGTGGTGCGAATGCTGTCTGTGAATTCTTCTACCTATCGACCTGTCGATTTGTCAATCACTCTATTGGTTTATCTATCTATCTCCCGATCCACCTATCGATCTATCTCTGTATCGGGACAACCATCGGGAACACGATCTGGACAACCATCGGGACAACCATCGGGACAACCATCGGGACAATTGTCGGGACAACCATCGGGACAACCATCGGGACACCCATCGGGACAACAATCGGGACAACCATCGGGGCAACCATCAAGACACCCATCGGAACAACCATCAGGACAACCATCGGGACAACCATCGGGACACATCGGGACAACCATCGGGACAACCATCGGGACAATCACCGGACACAACCACCGGGACAACCATCGGGACAACCATCGGGACAACCATCGGGACAACCATCCGGACAACCATCGGGAAAACCATCGGAACAAACATCGGGACAACCATCGGAACAACCATCGGGACAACCATCGGGACAACCATTGGGACAACCATCGGGACAACCATCGGAACAACCATCGGAACAACCATCGGGACAACCATCGGGACAACCATCGGGACAACCATCGGAACAACCATCGGGACAACCATCGGGACAACCATCGGGACAACCATCGGAACAACCATCGGGACAACCATCGGGACAACAATCGGGACAACAATCGGGACAACCATCGGGACAACCATCGGGACAACCATCGGGACAACCATCGGGACAACCATCGGGACAACCATCGGGACAACCATCGGGGCAACCAGCGGGGCAACCATCGGGGCAACCATCGGGACAGCCATCGGGGCAACCATCGGGGCAACCATCGGGGGCCGCGCCCGGCCGGGGGGGGGGGCGAGAGGGGGCGGGCGACCTTTTGGACTCCATGTGGCCCCTACCAGTGCAGGACCTCGGCCAGCTTCGCCTCGCCCGAGTGCACGACGCGAACCGAAACCAAAACCGACTTCCCAGTTGGGGCCACTTCCGCTCACACCCCACAACCTCCGATACATATATATATATATATATATATATATACCGGGCTACAGGGCCGGGGGCTCCCTGGCAGGGACCGCAACCCCCCATGGGAGGATCGGGCCTCCGGGAGCGCCCTTGTCCGGCCCAAGAGGCGCCGAAGACGGTCCAAGCGCGCCTCGAGACGCTTACGATCGATCCAAGACGCCAAAGATGGCTCCTCAGACGGCCCAAGAAGGCGCCAAGAGGGCCCAAGAGGGCGCCAAGAGGGCCACAAGATAACCCCAAGACGGCCAAAGAGGCCCCCAAGACGCGCCAAGAGGCCTCCAAGAGGCCCCCCCAGAGAACCCCAAGAGGCCAAAATCGTCATTTTACTTAGGTTTTGGATACATGTTGCCTTTCCCGCCTTTTCAGCTTTCCGACGCTCCACGACGGCTCACAGGCCTCCCGCAGACGCCCCAAGACAGCCAAAGAGGCCTCCAAGAGGCCCTCAAGACGGCTCTGGAGGGCCCAAGACGCGCCCAAGACGCGCCCAAGACGGGCGAAGAGAGGCCCAAGACGGCACCAAGAGGGCTCCAAGAGGGGAACCGCGAACCGGAAATTCGAGCCTCCCGCCTCTACAGGGCCCCGGGAGGCCACAAAGGGGCGCCAAGAGGCCCCAGGAGACCCCCAAGATAAACCCAAGACGGCCAAAGAGGCCCCCAAGACGCTCCAAGAGGCCTCCAAGAGGCCCCCCCAGAGGGCCCCAAGATGCCAAAATCGCTAATGTTACAAAGGTTTTGGACACATTTTGCCTTTCCCGCCTTTTCAACTCTCCGACGCTCCACGACGGCTCACAGGCCTCCCGCAGACGCCCCAAGACAGCCCAAGAGGCCTCCAAGAGGGCCTCAAAACGGCTCTGGAGGGCGCCAAGACGGCCCAAGACGCGCCCAAGACGGGCGAAGAGAGGTCCAAGACGGCCCCAAGAGGGCCCCAAGAGGGGAACCAAATTCGAGCTGGGCCCCAAGAGGCCCCAGGAGACCCCCAAGATAACCCCAAGACGGCCAAAGAGGCCCCGAAGACGCTCCAAGAGGCCTCCAAGAGGCCGCCCCCTCAGAGGGCCCCAAGAGGCCAAAATCGCTAATGTTACAAAGGTTTTGGACACATTTTGCCTTTCCCGCCTTTTCAGCTTTCCGACGCTCCACGACGGCTCACAGGCCCCCCGCGGACGCCCCAAAACAGCCCAAGAGGCCTCCAAGAGGCCCTCAAGACGGCTCTGGAGGGCCCCAAGATGGCCCAAGACGCGCCCAAGACGGGCGCAGAGAGGCCCAAGACGGCACCAAGAGGGCTCCAAGAGGGGAACCGCGTACCGGAAATTCGAGCCTCCCGCCTCCACAGGGCCCGCCCCAAAGGGGCCAGAAGAGGCTCCAGGAGACCCCCCAGAGGCACCCAGGAGGCCCGAACGAGGCTTCACGAGGCTCCCAAACAGCCCCGAGGAACCTTACAACTGACGGTGCGGACGAGCCGATTTCCGGACCGCCGCCGCCGCCGGTCCAAGAAAACGGCCTCCTGGACGCCATGCGCGCCGTGGCCCTCCTGCGGTGGCACATCCCGCCCCGGGCCAGCGCAGAGGCCCTCGGATCCCAGAGAGAATTCTCCGTCGTCGGCGGTGTCGCCGTCGTCGGCGTCGTCGTCGTCGACGCCGTCCCCGCCCCGGTCGCCCCTCGGGACCGCGCTCGCCCCTTCGACTTCTCGGCTCGCCTCCCGCCGATGTTCTTGTCGCTCTTCGACTTTCGGAGGCTCCTCTAGCGGTCCTGGGTCCAGTGCTCCGGCCTCTCCAGAGCGCTTCAAGTGGCCGAAATCGGTAATTTTTCAAAGGTTTTGGAGAGATTTAGCCTTTTCGGCTGTCCGACGTTCCAAGACGGCCCAATATGCCCCCAAGAGCGCCCGAAGACGGCCCAAGAGGGCCCCCAGACGACCCCAGAGGCGCCCAAGACAGCCCAAGAGAGCCCCAAGACGGCCCCAAAATGCGCCCAAGAGTGGACCACGAAACCAAAATTCGACCCTCCGGCTTGAAGAGTGCCCCAGGAGGCCCCAAGGAGCCCCCAAGAGGCCCCAGGAGGCCCCCGAGAGGCACCCAGGAGGCCCAAACGAGGCTTCAAAAGGCTACAAAACAGCCCCGAGGAGGCCCCACTACGGCCCCAAAACGGTCACCGAGAAGATGCGAAACTGCCTTCACGACGTTCCCGACAGGCCAACCACGAGATCCAAACCAACACCCATGAGGCCTCTGACCCACCACCTAGGGCACCCGCCGCCCGTTCGCCGTCCGCGTAGCACGCACCACTCTGTACTCAACAGCTTCAGTCTCCAAGACAACACCCTGTAGTCAACAGCCCCCGTCTTCAAGGCAACACCCTGTGCTCAACAAGCTCCCGCTGCAAGAGAGCACCCTTAAGGAATTCATTCAAATCCCGACCCGCCTCCCCGCCCGCCACCCGCCCGCCCGCCGCCCGCCTGGCCGCTCGCCCGCCTTCCGCGTAGCACGCGCCACCCTGCACTCAACAGCCTCCGCCTCCAAGACAACACCTAGCATTCAACAGCCCCCAGCGCTCCCGGGACTGCCGAAGTCCGCTCCCAAACGAAGACAGCCTCAAGAGGCCCCGGACA